AATATGGGTGCATTCTTTGATATATGTACATATGGTAGGGAAACACTTCTCAAACTTTAATGTGCATGTAAGTTATATGGATATTTTGCTAAACTGTGGGTTCCAATTCACCAGACCCAGATGGGGCCTGTGGTTTATGCACTTGTAACACACTTCCAACTTCCCAAGGTGTTTTTGATTTCCCTAAAGACACTCTGCATGTTGAGAAAGAAACCAGAATCCAGTAATGAGTGGAGAGGGACAAAGGCATATGCCCACCTTCTAGCTCAACATCAAAAAAAAAAAATTGAAAAAACAACCACCATCCACCTGCCATTTGGAGTCCCTCATCTTTTAGCACAATAGCTCTCTGACATTTCAATGCTAAGAATTGACATATCCATCCACAGGGAGGAGGCATAGCCTATGTAAACATCTCTCTGTCTGGAAACTTGATGGACTTTGGTCAAATAGTCAAAGGAGTACCAATAACAAGGTGACAACATCTGCCATAGTGAAACAACAAAGTCAGGGCCAAGAACCTAAATAGTTGTCTTTATCAGAATTAGGGCACTCTGGTAAACACACCAGCGGTGACAGATCCTTTGGAAAATTGTAACAAATCTTTCTAGTAGGATTTTTTTTTCTTCTGGTGGACCGATCAGCATGGAATAGATCCTCTTTACTTTCTCACATATAAAACAAATTCAGATTCAAAAATTAATTCCATAGTAAACTACTATTTTAGGAGGAAACAAATAAGAAAAATACTTGATTATGTGAAAACACTAGAGGTGCTCTAATCTCGTTTGAATGATTTACTTCAAAGCACAAGAATTATAGTAGAAATCAATACTCTGGGTTAATCTCATTTTACGGGTGTCTATATTTACTGGAATTTTTTTTCGAAAAGCAGTTCCCTCTTTAGGCAGTGGAGACAGGCCAGCTATATTCAGTTGCTTTTAGCTGTGGTCAGAGGTGGGACACATCCTACAATGACCTCAGGAAGGACTTTCAGGGGTGCCTTTGGCATGATGATAATGTTTACTCAGCAGGGAGCTACCACACGTATTTCAGCAGGGTGTGTGCGTGAGTGTGTGAGTGTGTGTGTTGGGGGTGGGGTGTGCATTCTTTAATGGCCAACTAGAATATCAGAAGCCTCATTTCCTGGCTAGACAACAAGCATCCTGCCCTGAACTTGGACAGTGCTCAGCACATCTTTCCAATTGTTGAGTGAGTGATGGCTGTCACCATGACAGCTGTCCCTCCATTGCAGTATTATTCTTGGAAATGAGGTGATCTAAAAATTACAAGAGGAGGGTTTTGCTAGCTGGGTGTTTATAGCAACATTTGCCATTTGGAAAGCATAATATCTTTGTTTCAGAACAAAGTGTATAAGTAGAGATATATCCAAAAATCATATAATGGAATAATAGATGCTTTTGTTTTTGTTTGYTTTTCTTTCTGGGTTATCTTTTAACAAATGACTCGTAAAAGGGTCTTGCCGATTCATTTTCTTCAACTCTCCTTTGGGACTACAGTTTTCTTGCTATTTCTTCAGAAATGGAAACACTGATTTATGATTTCACAGGCATTTTCAAAGGCACTACAGCACAGTGGGACCTGAGTCCACTTGTCTTCATTCCTTTGATAAGCAGGAAAGCATCCTGGAGGAGAGGCAGGCACAGGCTGTCACTGAGAAGCTGGAGTTCTTGTTCCCTGTGAGAGCCATTCATTCCATCACTAGCCTCACACCTTACTTAAACTCTCCAGGCAAAAATAGATCTTCACTTCAGCTGGAAAAATCAGTGAGACGAAGAAGTACAGAACCACAAGTCTAAATACTTCAGCTCTGTCTGTGAAAATGACTCCCTATCGGGAGGTAACCTTGGGCATGTCAGTTGACTTAACATGGCAAAAAAAATTGATCCACCTTTCCTGTCAACCCAGTGAACACTCCCTTTTGAACGTAATGATGAGCACAAAGAAAATTAACTTGAAGCTAAAAGGTTATCAGATTGGACCACCACTTGTGACACCTGTATAGAAAACAAAATATGGGGGGTGGGCGAACGCTTTCAAAATAAGTGGCAAATTTCGAAAATATAACCAATTTCAATTAATAATTATTTCACTATATCAATTAATTTCCTATAGGATGTTACTCTGAAAATAAAACCCACAGTTGGACAATTACCTTTTCTTCATTACTCTCCTTTCTTTACAGGAGTGCTTTCTTCCCAGTAAGTTTTACACTCCTCATGGGCAGTAATAATGTCATTTCATTCATAGTTTAGGGATAAATCAAAAKATCTCTGTGCTGCACATGAGCTCAACATGGGCAAAGAGATGAGAAAGAATTCCAGCCTGGCTTCTAAAGAGCTCCTCCTATGTTGGAAGAGAATAAACACCATGAATTTTCTAGTTACTCTATTTCTTAAAGTGGAGCAACTGCATTAAGCTAGAATATAATAGGGATTCGAAGAGCAAATTGAGAAGATAAGAACATCGGTACCTTACTTCCCTCTTAGGGTCCTAGCCCTGGCACTGTGGCAACAATCATTGTCCTGTGGCAAGAATCAAGTCCTGCTACTTGTAGCTCTGAGTTCTGATTCCAGTTCTTGAGTTTAGATATATACTCCTTTGTTTTGATAACATGGAAATATCTATGTACAGTGATTCTTGGTACATCCATGAATTTTACAATTATAATACCACTAATAACAGTCATTTATGCTGGGCTTGGTGGCACATGCCTGTAATCCCAGTGGCTTGGGAGGCTGAGGCAGGAGGATCTCGAGTTCAAGCCAGCCTCAGCAATGGCAAGGTGCTAAGCAACTGAGTGAGACCCTGTCTCTAAATAAAATACAAAACAGGACTGGGGATGTGGTTCAGTGGTCTATTGCCCCTGAGTTCAATCCCTGGTACCCAAAAAATATCTGCAATTTCCTGAACACATATTAAATGATGTGTTCTCCAAATAGAGAATCTAATTAAATCTACTCAAAAACCCTCTAAGCTACCTATCATTAGTCCCAGTACAGAGAAAAGAAAATTGAAGCCTACAGATCTTATCTAACCTCATCCATTTGGAAAATGGAGAAGAAGGTTTTGGAAACAGGTGTGTCTAAAAAGTCTGTGCTCCCATTGTAGGAACCTGGAATGTCTGCAACACATTCTTGTCTTGGGCAACAGGCAGTCCTGTGTCTGTCAGGTTGTTATGGCTTCTTGAATAACTGATATACAATGTGATAGGGATATTGGTGGAGTAATCAACTAAGCTACTATTAAAATGCTGCCTAATGATGACAGAGATGCAGCTAAATGCTGGGATGTAGTTACTACCTTTAGTCAAGAGAAACACAATTCATCTTTCCAGGATGATAGGACTCTACATGGTTTGTGACACAACAAGGAAGAGTCTAGATTCCAAAAACTAAGTTTTTATTCCTTCCCTYATGAGATCATCCACAATGGCTTTTAAAAGAATCATCAATGCAGAGACCAGAAAGAACAAAGGAGAAGTCACAACTTGGGAGAAAAAGGACTTACAGTGTTTATCACTCACCAAAGAAACTTCTGCAAACTAATTAGAAAAAGACAAAGAACCCAAAAGAGAAACCAACAAAAGGACTGAATAGGCTTTCCCCTAACGGGAAGACACAAAGGGCTGATAAGAGGGAAAAGATACACAGCCTCATTAGAAATCAGGGAGATGAATATTAAAACCATAATGAGCTGTCATATTACATAAGCCAGACTGGCAAAACATTATAAGCCCAGTGAGAATATGGAGTAACCCTGGCACTTACACAAGGCTGGTGGAATGCCGAAGAGGTAGATCTGGGAAGCAATTTGGCATTAAAGAGAAACGTTGTTTTACTCATAAAGAGCCATAGAGACAATTTTGTCCATGTACATAAGGAGATGAATGATTCACAGCAACCTGTATAATGATAACAAGGATAAAAAGGAAAACAACCTAAATATCCATTAACAGATTCACTCACTTATTCAGTAAAGAATAAGTAGATGGTGGTATGTTCATGGGATGGAATATTATCTAGCCATGAAAATAAAGGAAGTATAGCAACATGTAACAGGATGAATTCATCTGGAACTAAAGATTGAACTAAAGATTTTCTGTTTCAGAAAAGCATACAGAAGAGGTTCCATTTATAAAGTTCTTTGTTGTGCAAGGCTGAAAAGCAAAGCAAGGGAACAATACAAGAAAATTTCAGGTCAGGACAGGGATAGACTGTGAAGGAACAGGGGAGCAATGGATCCTAGGAGGACTCTAAGAAGATGAATCTAGTCTTCTTTTTTCCTGAAGTTGGTGGTAGGTGCCCAGGTGATCATTACATAATGTTTTTGTCCTGTTGTTGTTGTTGTGGTGGGARATACACATAGCATAAAAAATTATCATTCTAACCCCATACCTTCACATTTGATTGAAAGAGTTATAGTYATGTTTGGTGATATTTCTATCATCTTCAAATCTCTGAAGAGTTTTAGTCATCTCATGAACAGAAGAGCATTTTGGCAAGATTTTATAAAGAAAATCTTGCTTTTTATTGTAGAGGAAAGATCATCACTGAGTTACTTGGAGGCAAAATTAATACAATATTTGGAGAAAGATTAAGTTGTTTATCCCCTGAAATAATTAAAAAGCAGCAGTGTATTTTCAATGACATCAACAGGTTCAATGCCACTTAGAGTTTAAGAAGGTCTAGCTACAACAATTTGGGTTAATTGTAAAACTCATTTCAAGTCAGATATTTGTTTTATTACGTTAATTAGATTTCATCTCTCTAATTATTTTACAGCCCAATAGTTTTTCTAAAAAGGTATGATACATTTGCTTCTGGACACTTTCCAAATAATACATAATTAGAAATGGCAAATAATTGTTTTATGATGTTTTCCCTAAAACCAAGCATTGATGTGTTCTGTGAAAAGCAAGGATAAAACAGTAGACATAGAATACACAGTGGAGTTCTTAAAAATTTTTATCAACTCACCCTTTTGAGCATTATTGGCCTCACTCTTTTTTCAGTGTTGGGATTTCAGACCCAAGCTTAGCTATTTCTTGCTGCAGTTGTTCATTTGTTCCCAGTGCCTGTTGCGGCATGACTTGGTCATTGTTTAAAKGCATTTGTAACTTAAGAAACTGAGGGCAGGAAAAAAAAAAAGGAGGGGAGACTATGTTAGGCAAGAATTCAGCATTATAATAAAAGAAGCCATTGAATGCCAAAGCTGATTATGTAACAAACCCCATCAAGGTCTGCAAAATGCCACAGGAGAATGAAGCAGGATGGTAATTTTCAAGTCAGTTCTAATTTCTTTTCTGCCTGCAGGAGCTCTTCGTTAAAAACAATATATTATTTTTTTTAAAGCCTGGAGAGACTTCAGAAGAGTAGTTTAACCTGGTATACTTTATGACATTTTATATAGCTAATTCATTTTTCAACAGTTCATTCATTTAGTAATTACAGAAGATTATCTGATACAGTTCTCTTTTATAAACTGGATTTTTTTCCTTACGAAGTAAGATTTGTTTACATTTTAAGTTTTTATTTATTTTTTATTTTTGTGGTTCTGGGGACCAAATCCAGAGCATTACACATGCTAAGCAATCACTCTACCACTGAGTTACATCCCCATCCCTGTTTAGATTTTAATTTTTTTTTTGCCTGATAGTTCCATAAATATTCACAATGTATAATTCTGTGTTCCACATTTATCATAAAAGCCTTAGCCAACAACATACCATGAATAATAATAGTAATACACTTTGCTGGTTCTGCATATTTAGGATTTTAATTAAAATTAAACATGTGACACTAAGAAGGTAGCATATAGATGATTTGTGGCTAGCAACATGCAAAAATAAATTAAAATTATAAATAATAGTTTTATCATCCAAATACCTGAGGATTTTCTGAATAATGAGAGGCAACAGGGTCCAATGGAAACCTTTGGACAATCAATTCAGATTTCTGTTTTCTTGGTTACAAACTGTAAATAAAAATATAACTAATCTTATTCAGAATGAAATGAAACTCTAAGTGTACTGCATAAACCTAATTATAATTTGTTGGGGCATTTGCTTAAGTATTTTCTCAAATTCATATTTAGTGTAATACATACACACCCAATTTATAATGTCCCACACAGTGTTGACTCATCACATATCTATAATATCTACATAAAATACATATACATGCATAAATGTATAGATGTATATATGTTTGTATGTATATATGTATATGTGTGTGTTTATATATGTATAAGTACATGTATAATCATATACCCATGTTTGCCTCATGCTGTAGATGACACCTTCTCATCCAGTGAGATCTATCCAACATACTGCACTGTTCATGTGCTCCTGTCTATAAAGTATTAGTGCATATATTGCAAAGACCCTGTGCTAAATGGTACTCTACCTTATTTCCTGAGTTCTAGAACGCATATTATTTACATTGCTGTAGATGTTCTTTCCACTACTTACTTTGTGTTGAGTAGTTTTGACCCATAATTGTATAACAAAAAAAAAAAATCAAAAAGTGTGTATCTGATACGTATTCCACAAAATGGTGGTGAGAGTGGTAAGTAGTATCTATGATGAAATTAAGAAAATGACCAAGGAAMGATCATGAAACACTGAGTGAAGGTCTTCTGAACTTCATAAACATCACCGAAAGTTGGGAGAACAACCAGCAAAGGCAGATTATCAGTGTTGATGGTCGGGAGAGATGTCCTCCAAGGAACCCACACAGAAGTAATCTAGCACTTCAGGAGAAATGTCATTGAATTATACCAGGTGTGCTAAATCTAAAAGTTTTCTGGAGACATGGTATTTTTTGGAAAGTAATAATAAAAATACAATTCTTTGAGGGACAGGAGATGTTTAAGAAACTGGTTAAATCACATGAGGCATATCAATGTGTGAAGAGATGGACCACATGTGGTGAAATAGTAAAAGAATAAAAAAGGATACAAACTATGTCCAAACAGAGAAAATAAATATTAAGCTCACCTAAGTTTAAATCTCATCTCTCGAGGGAGTTGAGAGGCATAAAATGGCAGCAAACAGTGGTAAATCAGTCAATAAAGATTCATCTCACCTCCCCAACAATGTTTGGCTAAGTGGTTAGTGAATGAATCTACAAGCAGTTCAGGTGACCCAAGAAAAATGAACCTCTATCTAGAAAGTGACCAACCTTGTTTTCCAAATGATAGGAAGAATGCTACAAAAAATTACACTAGCAAGAAGATTCCAAGCTCAGTATACACTTTTGATATTGAAAAATAAGAATTCAAASATTTCATAGCTAAGTTATACCTTTAATTAGAAGACAATGGGTTTCTTAAAATGACTTATTTAGGGGAAAACTTCATGGGGATCCAAAACAGATCTGCACATCATTTTGTATGCCTTTTTTCTAGGCTCACCTTACATGAAATGAGTCTCTGGCACTCAATCAAATTGATTCTTAGAAAATAAAACTTTGCTTCCAAATGTTGGATTTGTCTCCAATTTTTTTTATTTTTATATTTTCTACAAATATTTCACCCCTTTCATTTTTAGAGAGAAAAATATGTGAATTCTACCTACCCTTCACTACCAGCCCAGCCTTTCCTATACACACATATTTAGGGGAAAGAAAAGTTACAAAAATTGTAAGAAAATYCTTGTCACAGCAAATTAAACAAGAGTGTTTAACCTCTGTCTAACATTTGACCTTTTCTAGTGAGTCATCAGCAGTTTGGGGGCTGAAGTGGTAAGCAAAGAGGCAGCAGAAGAAGGAAGGAGCCAGAAAAAGTGACAGATTCATTCTCTTGGCAGTTAGCGGGCTCACTATGACAGCTGGAGATAGTGCCGTCAATAAGACGCAGTCCCTGTCATCACAGAACTTCATTCTAAAAGTAGAAAACTAAAAAAATGGGGGACTGGGGTTGTGGCTCAGTGGCAGAGCACTTGCCTAGCATGTGTGAGGTACTGGGTTCGATTCTCAGCACCACATATAAATAAATTAATTAAATAAATAAAGGTCCATCAACGACTAAAAAAAAATTAAAAGAAAGAAAATTAATAAATGGATAATAATAAAACAAATACAATTTGGGCCTATGATAAAAGAAATGAATGAGGACTAAGGAATAAAACAGCTRCTGTGTGTAATGGCCATGGAGACCAACTTTAGACAGAATACCCAAGGTGAAATGAGCCAGGGGAAGAGAACACAAGCATTTCCTCATGGACAACAATGGGCATAACTGGTGGAAGGAGGGTGAGGAGCAAGGGAGGATTYTCAACAGACCAGCAGTGACTGGTTTGCCTCTTGCAAAGATCATGCTGTTTGATTTACAAAGAATGTGCTGAAAAAGTCCAAGAGCAAGAGTGGAGGGGCCATTGCAAGAGTCTTGGTGAGAAGAGTGGTTATCTAGGACCAGCATGGGGAAGGGAAGCTGGAGGGAAGTGACAAGATGTGACTTGCTGGTAGGATATGTGTGAGGATGCAAGAAAAGGGAAGAATTGACAAGGACTCCCAAATCCAATCTTGAGCATTTGGGCAGCCAGTGGTGATAAGTACTGAGATTATAAGGCTGAAGACTGCAGAACTGTTTGGGGAGAAAGGATAGGGTGATTGAAATTGAGAATTTCATTTAATGGTCTTTTTATGGATTGACCCTGCATTTATTGTGTCAGAAACGTCAAYAAGCAGAAATCACCTACCAATAACCTTATTGCTGGTCCTGTTTCAGTCACAAAATATCTGCCTTATAAAATGAGGAGATTACAAAACTAAATACAGTATTATTCTTCTAAGCCTAGCAGAATCGTAACCATGTGAGAACACAGTGAGTTCCACCCAACGCATAGCACGTTATGAGGTTCTCAAAGGAAAGTACTGAATATGTGTAGAAGGCTCATTAATTTAGTGTCCAGGAATGTGTTGTTGAATGCAGAAGTGCTAAAAATAAAAGTAGAAAACTGAAAGTAGTATCACGGCTTCCTCCCCATAAAAGCTTTCTCTAACTGGTTAAGCAGCGGCTCTTGCTCCTGTTCATGAATCCTGACCTAGTTTATAAGAGTTTATAAGCATCAAAACAAGGACTTTGACAAAACTCACAGTCTGAAGTTTTTATTGCCCTGTTTGGAGAAAAGACCATCATATTTAGGGATGAGATGCCCCTAATTTTCCTTGAATTTCTTTTGCCATTGAAATTGAGAAGACACCTGCAGGTCGTACGTGGATTTCTTTAATTCAGGTTCCTGTCCACAGGACAAATTATTAACTGTACCACTGTCTCAACCATATATGAGATTACTCACACAAAACTAAACATGGGCCTTTGTGCCATATCAGTTGTTCCTCTGTGTGGAGATCTCAATGTTTTTATATGAAATAGTGTATGGAGTAATAGATAGTGCCCAGACTTGATTGTCTACTGGTACGTTAATCAACCTGTCTTCAGAATTTGAAGTGATGAGATATGTAATTTGTTCTTGAGTATCTGTACTCAAGCGAATGAGAATGAGATTTGCCAGTCACATCAATTCTAGGAACATTAAGTGAATGTGTATCATGTGCCTGAAACTAGGCTAGGAGCCACAGATATGGAATTAATATTATGTATGGTGTTTTCATAAATTGCTACAAACTCCCTCACCTAATTTTAAGAGTAGCTAATATTTATTGGATACTTTGTGTGTTCCACTAAGTGTTGTAAAGGTATCATATGTTAAACAGTTTTAAGGATTAACGCAGAACCAGTTGCTTTACACATAAATTTTCTCACATGCAAGGGATAGAATAACCAACTTGTCCCAATTTGCCTGAGACTTTTTTAAAATTAAGGTAAAATTCATATAACATAAAGTTAACCATTTTAAAGTAGCTGATTCAGTAGCATTTAGTACATTTACAATGTTGCTCAATCACAACTTCTAGCTAGTTTCAAAATTCATTACTCTCAAGATATCTACCCCATTAAGCATGAACTATTTCTACCTCCTCCAATTGCTGTCAATCACCAATCTGTCTTCTATCTCTATGGATTTACCTATTCTGAATATTTTGTATAAATCCAATCACCCAGATATTTCGTGTATGGCTTCTTTCACATAGCTTATTGCATTTAATGTACACAATTTTTATGACTAAACAATTCCACTGAATGTATGAACCACTTTTGTTTATTCATTGTCTATAGAATGTCATTGGGTTGTTTCTACCTTTTGGTTATCATTAATACTGCTTCCATGAAAAATCATGTGCACATATTTGAGTATCTGTTTTTCCATTCTTTGGGGTATATTCCTAGGAGTAGAATTGTTGGGTTACATTCTAATTCTAAAATTAACTATTTAAGGAGCCACTTAACTCTTTTCTACAGTAACTAAACCCTTTAACATCACTACCAGCAATGTACAAAGATTTTTTTTCACATCCTTGCCAACAACTATGATCCTCCTCTTTTTTTCTCTTTTATTTACAGCCATTCTAGTGGATGTGAAGTGTAATATCTTTGTGATTTTGAGTTTCATTTCCTTAATGCCTAATGATAGCATCTTTTAAGATGCTTACTGGCTATTTGTTTAATATCCTTTAGGGAAATGTCTGCTCATGTACTTTGCCCATGTTTTACTTAGGTTGTTTGTCCTTGTTGTTGAGATGTGAGGATTTTGTTCATATTGTGAATACTAAACCCTTATTAAATTATATTATTTGCAGATATTTTCTTCCTTTACTTAAATAATATCATAATAATATCCTCTGATGAACACAACACTTAAATTTTGATGAAACCAAATTTATCTATTTTTCCTTTGTTTATATTTTTTGGTACCACATATAAAAATCCATTGTTAAATCTAAGGTCACAAAAATTTAGAACTATGCTTCCTTCTAAGAGTTGTATAGTTCTAATTCTTATATATTAGATTGTTGTTCCACATTGCATTAATTTTTGTGTACAGTGGGATAAAA